CGTATCAGAGACAACCATTCTAAAAGAATTTGTACGCAGCGGTTTCCATTCGTTTTTATTATACCGTTGCAACTAATGCAGAATGAACGATTAAAAGTATAGTTTTATTTTATTCGAAAGGGGGAACGAGAAGTGTATATAGAAACTGTGTCATAAATCTATGTGTCGTTTACGTTCTGTCTGTTGGTTGCATGTGTGGGACATTTCTGCACGTCGATATTTACCCTGGGGAAGTACAATACTGTTCCTTTGTTATGACGGGCGACGTACACAAATTCCTAGAATCTCGGATTTAAGTTTGCCATAAAACACTAGTTGGCATGGCCGCCCGATAAGATATTTTCAGGGTCGTATTAATGTGTTTGCGTATACGTACTGATAGCGTACGACGTAAAACTATTAATTTTCTATTAGACTCGGAGTAGCTTCGCATTACCTGTTACTAAATTTAACATTATCAATCTGGCAAAATTATTTCCTTAAATAGAATTACGCGCGAGACTGAAATTATTAGTACGGACACTCTCGCAATCAGGGATATCGTTGTGTAATACACATTTCCGTCTCATGATCGCCTTAATGGACTAACAAAAGTAAAAAAAAAGTTAAGTCAACTACGTATTTTATACTGGTGTATAGTCCATCCATATAGATGATTCATATGCAAATCGTAAACCTTGTTATCAATTCGTAAACCGTAAACAATGATGTCACTGTCGGAATGATGCTACGTACACCTTTATTTGTTCAATAATTATGACGATTAGCTAACTAAATATCTATTCGATAAACTCAAAAGGAAGAGCTATTCCAGGTTAATCGTTCGTGTATCGACAAATTTCGACATTCGTTGATGGGACTTTACTCTTTTGATTGACAAAAATAAAGGAACGTGGATATTAACATTTATAAAATGCCATATTTTTATGTAAAGCATTCTTTAGCTTTTCAAAATCACTTCATATTAAATGTAATAACGTGGGACGCACTTCCTGTACGACCTTAACGGAAAGTAATTAAAAATTGATCCTGGACGGAACATGTTCAGGGAATAATAATTTTTATTCGATGCATGAATGTTCGATGGGTACGGGTTCGAAACGTTTTAAGCACGTTACTGCAGTTAAAACAGCCTCTTTTACCCCTCCGACGCGGTTCGCAGCCGCTAACGTTCTACTGCGCACGCGTATAACCGTACAGCATGGCAACATCGCGAATAACCACGTCGTCACGGTCACCTGATTTTTCGTGGAAACGCGACGCTACCGCGCGCGCGGATAAGGTATGCGACAAATACTGATAGAATATTGGCTTTGATATTAATCGAGTCTCGGCGTATCTTTGAATTCGAGGAAAAAAGTTCCCGATGGTGGTGTCGCGGCAGACATAACCTCCCTTCCCGCACGACGAACGGAGAAATAACGAGGCGTTTTCTAAAATCGTACGCGGTAAGGTGATTCGGACCAACGCGCACGGAGACGGGAATAGCCAGGGCAGTGAACAGTCGGCATACGTGTAACGTGTATCACGTGGTCTGGTAAAACGAGTGCGTGGCAGAAACGTTTTCGTCGTTCGAGGAGGTGCCACGACATTATACGCGAATTCTGTTTGTAACGATACTGTGCTCGAACAACGATACGATAGCAGGCCACTATTTGATCGATTATCTGGCCTGTTCGTTTCAGCGAATACGATTTCGCGTCGGGCTACGTGGCTCGTGACCGCCAACAACAGTATAATTGTATTACAATAGCATTGTACGGTCGCTGAGAAACGCAGACGTAATCGCTGCTGAAAAAGAGGAAACTATGGCTTCGCCGGTATTATGGCGCGACGTTAATTAGGTTGCGTTTGCAGTGGCGATAAATTTGTTTCTTCGTCCGGCAACGAAAATTGTTGAAACGAGTACGTTGCACTATTTCGTAGTTGAACGACAAATTTATCGGGGTAAGAGGGTCGTTCTAGGAATCTCGCTGATTTATGAAATTCGTTATTAAGCGGTACCGTTTAAACGAGAAAATAAATTTTATTGCAATATTCCGTTGTGCGTTGCATTTAATGTGCGTCTGCGACGGATTGCTTTCATTCCATTTAAACGTGTTTGGCGAGCGGAAATATATTCTCCGAACAGCATTGAAATTGGTGAAATACTTTGCTGAATTATTAAAACGTTCGGCTCGTCCGTCTACGGTGAACGTTAGAAAATAAATGCACGAGCCGTGCAGGAAATTAAGGCTCTTATCGATCGCAGACGTTTACTGGTTCTTGCGTTCCCGGCCATGAAGAACATATTTTGCTAATTTAAAGGTTTTCGTATTGTTAAACACTTTTCTTTTATAAAATTAACGCTCTTAACTTTTTGATAAACTTTTCATATATTCATCTCACCCACGTATTCCTTAGGTGCTGTAACCCCTCGTCTTAATTACTTATAGTGAACTGTGTTTCTCTTTATATCAGGTAATATTAAACAAATTTAAAAAACATATATGTAACGTTAAATTTCATCCAATTACAAAATGTCTTCTTTATTTAATTCCTCTATTCTCCTCTATAAATATATGTAAGAATAAATCTCCTATTGTCAACTAAAAAAATGATTTTTATGATGTCACGAAATGTTTTCGATCGTTTGAAAAATTTTCAACTTGAAATGAAAGAATGCATTCTAAAATACAACGTCGAATTCAATGCTAAAGCGCAGGGTTAACGAACGCGATATGATCTTCGTTTTAAATCGACGCCATTTTTACTTTCGTATCTAGTTCTTAAAATAAAACTGTACGCGTATACGTTGCAGAGCGGTCGAGTGAAATGTGTACGATTTGTACATGAAAAGAAAGTCGACTTTCAATAAACTCCCCGATATTGCTTCGAATCCGTGTTTGATACGATCGATATACTCGCCGACAATAGAGATACTTTTCGATAGCACTTTCTGTGATCCAAAATCACTGCAATCCAATACTGCAACTACCAAGATGATAGAAACGATGAAAGCGCATCTTTCGCATGTTGGTCGACGCACTCGCGAAGAAATACATTATTCCTAACCTCTCAACCAATATTTCGGTACGCCATTTTTAAACTATTTTTCTTAAACACTTCGTTTGCATCAAGTTGTAAATTTTTTAAATAAATATATTCAGTAGTATTTATAGTCGCGGACAAAGTTTTCAATAAAAAAATCTGAATAAAACCAAACCCGGAAATAAGTTGAAGGATAAAAATCTGAATAATGTTGTATAACTTCATACAACTTGTACCATTATATACTTTTCGAACTTGAAGTGGCCAAAAGAAGGTAAGCTATTCTAATAAACTATTAAATATGTAGATACGATTTTAAATAAGTTTGAGTTTATAAGATATTGAAATATATAGTTGTCTTTACATAATATTTGATTTGCAAAAAATAATTTACTTTATTTGGCCCACCGACGAAGAAGGTTCTGCACAACTGTTATACAGGGTGCTTCGTGCAATTAGGATGAATTGTATTTCTAGATTTACCTCTCTGTAAATTATAATTTTTATTCCGTTTATTTATTTAACAATTTTATTCGCTAAATAGAAGCAAAGTGTGCAAAAATTAGAAACGTAACTGTATATTCTTGAATCTTAGTTTCGTAAGAAGCATAATGTAACAACAAATTCATATCGCCTACTTCTTGTGATATAACAGATTATCTCGTAAGTCTTACGTTTTGCCGCGTGACGTAAAACAGTACTGCAATTATATAAAAGACAATCGTTCGTATTGACACATCCATGACACAGCAGTCCATAAATCCAACAATAGATTCGAACCACAACGCGTGGAGGAATTCCAGACAGTACGTGGATTTTATTTGGAAAAGAGACGGGGATGAGTTTTATTTGGAAACGGATAATTAGCCGTTCATCAATAACAACATTTCAATGTCGCGTTACCTGCTTCCTGTGGCGTGTAATTTAATTAATTCCCGCTACGTGATGCGTCGCAAAACCTGTCATTCATATATGTCGTTTCCGTGACCAAAATATCTTACTGCCTTGACTTTGAACCGCGCCACGTTTGTAATAATAATTATAATTTCACCGAATTGTTAAATCAAACGATAAAAAAATTATTTGAATAGTGCTACTATTATAGTACAATGTTTTTCAATAAAAAAAAATTTATAACCAGAACCCCTCTGACGCACATTTTGTATTCCGTTATATAATTTTTTTTTTTATCAACACATTTGTGAACTACAAATTGAAAAACACTGGTTTAATGTTTTAATTTTTTACATAAAATTTTAATAAAAATAAAATTATTTACCAGGATATAAAAATATAAAATATATGTGTTTTCATGTTGCAAGTATGGTTGGATCAAATGTGATTGGTTGTTCAAAACTAGATTCCCTAGAATGAATAATTTCAGAAAAGGCTCCCTACATGTGAGAATATGTGCCTGTATGTTTGCATTGAGAGACGAGAGATAGAACGTTGGGGTAACCAACTGGTATGAAGGGAATCAGTGACCTTGAGCGGTCAATTGATTCTGACCTTATAACCTTTTACGTAGTTTACATTTACCCTTACATCAAATGTGGTGATAAGTATTGACTAATAATGAGGATGTAAGGTGTCTATAAGAGTCGGTTCATTTCTATGTTCTTCCTATACTTGAAATAAAATCACCTGTCTGCTAAATGTCATTTCTAAGCATGGATCACGTTGAGACAGGAAGTCAGTGCTTGGAGGCCAGATTATTGGGAGATATAATATAAAAATATGGAACACAAAAATGCTTTTAAAAATTGGGACCTTTATCCCAGTTTTATCCATTACTTTCTGTATGATTTTTTTTTTTATCAGCTGCAAAATATTTCATCGACACTTTATCGAAGCAGCCTCGAGTTGTTAGTTTCCTATAGCGAAGAAAGTTATCGAGTGCAAAGGGCTAGATAAGAATTTTGCCCGTCTCCGCCACTAACCTCAGGAGTATCTGATGCAAGAAAACTTACCCGTGCGAGGGAAACCTGTGCTGAAGATGCTGTGGTTCGTAGTACTGTGTGGTAAGGGCTCGTTCGTCCAAGGTATGCTCAGTCGCGTGGGCCTTCGCTGCGGACTTGATATCCATGAACGCCACCGTCGCGGAAGCACCCCCGGTGCTGTTCGAGGAACCGCTACCCCCGCCACTGCTACCGTTCCCAGAACTGGAACCGGAACCACCCTCGTTGCCTTCTCCGAGGGAACCACCGGAACCTCCATCCACGGGGCATTCTTCGCCCCGCGGCAGCAGCTTGACGCTCTGCACGCGTCCATACCTGAAACATTCAAAATTTTAGGTTAATTGCTAGGTGAACGTATACTGCTTGAGAGAAAAAAAAAAATTAAATCCACACGGTTGAGGTAACGTTTTTAAAACGAGAAGGTTGTGCGTTACATTCGGCGAGCTAAATATTCGGTTAAGAATTCTACAATATGAAATGTATACAGCGTTAAACATTTTAAAATATAACAGAAAAAATAATTACATTTTTACCTAAATAACAAATAACTTTTATCGGTACCTCGCATATACAGTTTTATCTGAATAAAAGTTTGTGTAGTACGTCTGCTCGTTTTAGTTCTAGAATTACTAGAAAAAAGTTTGAACAAAATTGACAGAATAGTTGAGGTCAACAGTGATTCGAAACGAACGTGAGGATTCGCAGAAACATTGAGAATAACAGAAGCAATGGTAACTGAACAGAATAATTCTTTTACTTTTTGATCTACAAAAAGGGGAAATATCTGCGAACAATTTTTTTTATATGAAATAATTACTTTCTATTTACGCGTCGAAAATCGCACGAATTTTTCGGCTAACCTAATATTTTGCTCGGCTGCAACTTGAAATCGGTGTGTTTAAAGAAAGCGCGTCTTGTTTTCACCCTATAGAAAACTGAGATATTGAATTTCGGACGAAATTAAAGAAAACAAAGAGCCAAAGTTGTTTCTGGCACACCCTGTGTACAGAAAGCTCGACAGTGGTAGAAACGGGGCTTACTAGGTGAGGTAGGGTAACTGGCTGGGAGTGGGGAGTCAAGCATCATGATAGGTCGATCGAGAGAAGAATATTACGCGCAAGCGCAAAGACTCCAACGGTTTCGGAGTATCTCGGGGAGTTGTTCGTCTAATCTCGCGTGAGTCGCACGTATTTCCTTGTGCGTTCTTCCGAGGAAATCCTTTGTTTTTTTTTACTCCCGGATCATATACGCAGCATCTATCAACGAAAAATGCATTACAATCATCCGTTGTTTGTTCTTCACGCTCACAGGCGTCAGTATAACGCGTTAGAGAATGCACGAGAATTGGGCGGCGCCTTGGACTATAGTTCGCTTGGATTTACTGCACAAAGTACTTACTAGGCCGTTACAAAATCAAGGAACGGTGGATTTATTTCGTAAAACGAAAATCACGGGAGGACGCTAACTTATCACGACACACGAGCACTTTTTGCATCGTGAAATGTCGGATCGTTTCGAATGGGGCGTGGTCCCTCTTCCATATGCCGTGTGATTCGATGGCGAGAAAGGGGCGCGCGAAGCTTTGTATAACGGGTTTTCATCTTTCTCGTTGCACTTCGTTTCGCTCGAACATTTTGAACATTTATTCGGCGTGTCGGAACAGGTTGGATCATCTGTAACGAGAGATGCTAACCGGTATATATCAAGAATTATTCTAGAATGGTCTTCGAGCCGACGAGAATTAATTTTCGGGAGTTATCTCGATTTCGCTGCAAACGGGGAAAAAGGTGGAAGAGAAAACGAATAAGTTTATAATATTGCAACATACACATCCTCTGGAAGATTGTTCTCACGAAATGGCTGCCGCAGCTGCGATGTGCCGTTTATACGCGACTTCCGTAATCTTTCCCATTCCACATTTCGCGCGTTTATTGTTCGCAAATATGATAGCGACCGATAGTATAAATTTTTCCACGGTTATTAACGTGTGATGTGTGGAGTGCTATTTCGAAATTTCGTTTTCTTCGCTGCAATATCAGACGATGAAATCGTTGTTGATGCGTGACGATGATACTTAAATAAAGTGAAAAAAAAAAAGAAATATACGCAGTGAATACGAGAGGATTGATATTAATTCGTAATAGTTATCGTATCGGGTCATTTATTCTACGTGACATTTTACGAAAGAGAACCGATCGCGCTCTGTGCGTTGTGGCCGCAAAAGTTCCCATCCCACTCGGTTCGTTCGGTCTCCCTCTTGTTTTCTTCTCCTACACACATTCTTGCATGAAACGCGCGCGCGCGTGCGCACGCACGCACACACACACACACACACACACACACACAGAGAGAGAGAGAGAGACATCCGAAGCCCTGAAAAGTCTCGCACACCACGGTAAACGTCCTTTTCTGTGGCACACATGAGTGAAAGCGGGTGAGAGGGGAGTGACGAGAGGAGGAGAAATAAGATAGAAGGCCATAGAAGGGGGGAGAGAGCCAAGTGCCACGGTGGCTGGCTAGCGAGCCACAAACCGTACCCATTCCCCTCCACAATCCCTGCCTGCCGCTTGTCGAGGAATTTTACTTCGGCAGACTCGCTCCCAGGCTCAATTCCTTCGTTTCTCTCTACGAAGTACAGCGAGTTTTGCTTTATGTGAAAATATTAGCATGACTTTCCATAAATTTCAAGTCTCTAGGTCAGAGTTACATTTTATCGACAAGAAACGCTGGCACATCAAATCCTGTAACGCGGTCTTTAGACACGGAGGCGTAATCGTCATGCGAGTATACAATGCTGCAAAACGACACATAATCCACCCATATCCGACTCGCTTGAAAATGCTCGAGCAAGTTTACGAACTGGATAACGTACTTGTGTGGCGAGAATAACAGTGGTACTTCGATTAGAGTACTCAGAGTGTGTGATGTTCTTCGTTTTTATGTTTCGATCTCTAAGTGCTCAGCTTTCAGAATGTCGTTACGTTAATCATTATTTCTGACAGGAATAACGTTTTACGTTTCCTGTAAAGTAATAGTGGATGTCTCGGCATCGATCCCTCTTCTGTCACCAAGTGGAACGAAAATTGTAGGCTTTAACAGTGCTTTTAACGCCGTGCCTGTGGCACGTACCCAGTACGAAGTTCCTTTGAGAAACTGAGTCTCATGACCCACCGTAGTGGCATCCACTTGGACGATCGTTTGTCTTTGCACGTTTGAAATGGGAGACGTACAGGAAATCAATACATCGTCCCACGGTTAAGAGTTCCTAGGCTGTGTGCATGTGTGAGAATGAAAGCGAGAAAGAGAGACGGAGATATTTTCTATTCCTTCAAATCAATTAACGTGTCGCGCGTAATGTACATCAATTTTTTATTCTTCGATTATTCACGATATTCTGCATTAAGAGAAACGGGGACGAAGACGTACGATGTTCGTAATTTGCGAGAATATATTGTTAAATCCGTTGAATAAGACTTTCGTCGTAGAAATTTAGTGCTAGTGTTACGCGTTATGTAATATCAAAATTTTTGTGATATTTACTTTAGAGCAATTCTACATCCTTAGAGACACAGAGAGTAGTGCGTGTCGTATTTATCTACGAGTAACGAACAAGCACTTCGATAAATATACCGACCAATCTAGCATAGGAAGTTTAAATGCTGTGATAGAAAACCAGGTTTACCGGGTAGGATTCTTTATGTTTCTCCAGATCTCGGAATTCCAAGCTCCGTGAGTGTGTCGATTTAACCTTAACAATACACGGAGGTTCTACGATTCCGCGAAGAACGGCACGAATAAAAAGGAATACAATGCAGAACGAGCACTACGGGATAACAACAAAGAAAGAAGGCTTTTGTTCCTCGACTTTTTCCCGTTCCTCTCGTGCCCCCTCGTGATTCCGTCATGGCTCTCACGAAATCGAATAAAAAAAGCTGTATCGTGCTATGAGGACGTTAGCAATTCAGGAAATCTCCCTGGGCGGTTAATGGACATTCGTCTAACGAACGACAAATACGAATTTCTTCCGAATCTTTAATCATTGTTTCGTTTAGCATTTCTCAAATTTCATCTCCCCGTAGATCCCTCAATAAAGAAAAATGTTTGGAAAATCCTCTGAACTGGATTAACATTTTTCTACCTTTGATCTAATTACAAAATACATCGATATTTTAACGATTTTTATTTAATTTAAATAGTATTATTTTTTTTAAACTAATTTTTTCCCGTTTTAGACTAATTTTGTTCGCTTTTCGATAAATATATGCTTCAACTAAATTTTATTCGTAACATGGAGCTTTCTTGATCTTTCTACCAATTCTGACTAAATAAGTAAGGTTGGTAATATGTATACGCCATTAAAAATCATTATTTGACGATCTAGACCATGTAGCTCTGTCAATTGTTATTATCTTTTAAAATGTTGAGATAAACATATTTTTCTATCCTAGGATGTAATTCCTACTAAAATAGTATTTGATGCAAAAAATAATTACTTTTATTTTCCAAATTCTATGTAAAATTCTAGAATAAAATAATTTTTCTTTCCAATGATGTCATTTTACTCCGTTCACGTCTCATTTCCAAAATTATCTATATTTTTTAACATTTGTTTAATGCATGACAAACATAATCAGCAATTGTCATATCGGGGATTTCCCATTACGTTATTTCATAATTATGCCGTAAGAGAATATAATATTTCAACATAGTGCTTGAGATGTACCAATACTTGATATGTCCAGCTGGATAATTACCATAAGTCATATTTATAAGTACTCATGACTTCATTTATCCTAAATAATTAAACGATTTTTATAACTGCTTTGTAGCGTCGTCCTACAAAATCAAATTTTTATCTTTTGTACTCTTTTGTAATGGAAATGTAATACGTTATATACATTCATCATCAGGGTAGACGTCCAGGAATGGGCCTACCTTCTTTTTCATCACGTGTTTCTTCATGAAGGTGTCTTTCAGAGCACAATAGCATTATAAAGCTTTTGTTCCTTTATGATATTTAATCCTACAACTATTGCATAAACTTTCCTACATTCTTTCTCTCGGAAGAAAGACTTTATTCAAATTCTTTGTCTTCGCTTCGCTAATCATTTATGAAAATTATTATGAACGTGAAAATAAAGGATTATTGTTAGCTTGAATATCGCAAAAAAATCATTTTTATATATTAAATAGTGTTCAATGTGACAAGTATAGCAAAATCGGTGGGTAGATATCGTTCATTCTAGTATAAATTCTTCGAAATCGAGGAGTGCCAGTCTGTCCGAGATATACAGCTAGATGCAAAATTGAGCGTA